ATAAGATATTTTAATTTTTTTTCAATAAGTGTATTAAAATGACATAATTTTAAAATAATTTTCTCCTAATTTTTAAGATATAAGACGGATAAACACTATTCTCCATATATATTTTGAACACAAGGAAATTTGGAAGAAGATGGTTTTTCTTTTTCAAATAATTAAAAAAAGTTGAATTCTCAATCAATTACACTCGAATACTTAACATTTGAGAACGAATTGTTGGACCCAAGAGTCTAATTCAACTTGATCGGTTACATTATGTCTCATTTATCATATAATTTTGATTAAATATTTTGATATTTTTTAATATATAAAACATAATATAAACCAAAATTTTATTAAATTTATTATATAATTATTACTATACATCACAATATTTTTATAAAACATTTGGGTTAATTGATGAAGATTTTAAGTTGAATCCATATCTTAAAAAATCCATCACCCCTAATCCCAAAATTGTAAACTGTAAAAAATAAAAATAAAATAAAATAAAATAAAATTTCAAAAGAAGCCTCAGATAAAAGCAAACCACCTTTTACATGTTCTTTGTTTTTAGCGGCTCATATAAAAATCCCTTTTCTACAGTATATGGGTTTTGTCTGGGGATGAAATTCTGTTAAATAAAAACCACTGGCGGAAAACTGGAGTACAAAGTGGGGTCCAAGTCCAGAGGGTGATATGGCCGGAAGACGACTAGGGGTGACTTGAGTAGCGTATGCTTTTTGCATGGAGGAAGAAGAAGAAGCAGCAGCCGCAAGCCGTCCATATTGACTCTTTTTTTTTTTTCTCTCTCTCTTCCAAAACCAAAATCTAGAACCCTCTCTGCACGTATATCTTAATGATTCTCTTTCATCTGAATACGACCCTTTTCTGAAATCCAAGCTAAACCATCTACCTTTCTATGTAATAACCAATCCATGCTCTTTTGATTAACTTTCTCAGGTGTCCAACCAGGAGGTTTTTTTTAAGTCTCTGTTTGTTCTCGACGGATTCTGCTACTAAGAGCTGTTTCTGGAATTGGGTATGATTCAATTCTTCTTCTTTTGGTAGGAAGTTGGATTTTTGATTGGTTTTTCTATGTGGGTTGTTATCAATTTAATAGCTTTTTTTATTGTTTAAGATTGATATCTGATGAATTTTGCTTCTTACTCGAGTTTCTTTTTTAGGTTCGTTTCTAGGGACTCTATGTAGGAGCTTCAATCTTGTTCTGGTCTTTCGAATTTGATCTTGTTTTGATGCGATTTCAAACTGCTGAACTGGGTCATCCTCTATTTGGGTTTTTTCTTTCTTAATAGCTTGTTGGAATTTGCCAATTTATCTGTTTTGGTTTGATAAGCAGAGGGCATGACCTTTTAGGACAAGATTTTGAAGTAATAGGTTTCTACTCTCTATTGTTTTCTAAAATTTTTTTTATTAATTATTCTGGTTTTTGCTTTCTGAAGCTGCACTTCTGAATATCCATTGAGATCCCCCTGCCCCATCTGCTTTCTGAGTTTTCTTCTTTTCAGTCTGAAGTTTTTACTTTGGCAACTTTTGATCAGTTCTCTCTCATTTCCAGGTGCTTTATGCTGAGAAATTAAGATATTTGGACATTCTTTAGCCATTTCTCTTAAACTTTTGCACAGAGTTTGCAGGCATTGTGAGTTTTGTTTTAAAGAGTGCTCTTTGTACCTGTTTCCTTTCTACTATCAGGTTTAGTTTCCAGTTGTGAAGTTGTAAAATTGGTAAATTGAGGAGTGACGTTAAACTGAAATTGGAAGATGCATCTGTCTTATACCTGTTTGGAAATCCATGAAGAAGTTATCTGGTAGATCAAGATGTTCCAATAGGATTTATCCTGTTTGGCTGGCATTTTGTTATCTGATAGATCAAGATTTTCCTCATTTTTTTGTTTTTCCCCCCCTTTTTCTTAGAGCTTTCCTTGTCTTTCAAATTCCTATTCGTCTTTGGCTAAAATTTTCTTTGCCATTTTCTTTAGTTTAGATGAATCAAGGAATTATTTAAAATGTCCTCATCAGCGGTTTCTACACTAATTGAGGTTTCTGTAGGTTGCTTCCAATTGTTTGCTACATGCTTTTATATGTTTATTTGACACACTTGAAGTTGATTTATTTGCAGGAAAATCCTATGTCCTGATTGCTTGCTAAGAGGAGTATCTACCATCAAAGGCTAGAAAAATGGGGGCCTCAGGCTCCAAAATAGAAGAAGATAAAGCAGTGCAGCTATGTCGTGAAAGGAAGAAGTTTATAAAGCAGGCACTTCATTTCAGATGGTTGCTGGCAACCACTCATGTTACATATATTCAGTCATTAAGAAGTACAGGAAGTGCTCTTAGGAAGTTTGTTGAGCCTGAAGCTCCAGTTGAATCTTCCTTGTACACTTCCACTAATGCAACCCCAGAACCACCTGCTTTAACTGAGAAGTCTCTCTCTCAGCAATCATTCTCTTCTCCATATAGTCCACTACAAGTAGATATAACTGAAACCTTTTCTCCATCTCCTTCTCCTCCCAGTTCCAGTCACTTTCAAGCAAACCATATGAAATTTTTTGGTTTTCCATCAAAAAAGATTGAAGAAAGACCCTCTGAGCCTGTTATTGCTACGGTGACAGCTTCAAATCCTCCACAGAATACTGCACGTCATTCCACTGAAAAACCAGAATCATCACCAATTGAGGGATCTTCTGTGCGACCAGGAACTCCACTATGGGATTACTTTGCTCTTTCCCATCCAATTGACCATCAATTTTCCTTTCAAGAAGGGAAGGAATTGAACCAAGGTTTGGAGAATGCTTATTCTACAAGGCAGCTTAGGGAACAGGAGGGAATTCCTGAGTTTGAAGAAGAAGATAAAGCGTCTTTCTGTGAAAGGGAAGAATCTTGTGATTCAGATGATGAATTTGATGAGCCTTCTGCAGATACCCTTGTTCGAAGTTTTGAGAATTTGCATAGGGTACATGAGCATAATGCGGCGAGTGCATCGCCCATTTTACATTCTGGAGGAAGTGTAGCTTCAGAAACTGAGTTCATGAATGGGGAAAGAAACTCTCCTGATTTATCACCGTTAAAGGCCACATCATCAACTGTTAATGGTCCAACTGATGCAAACAAAAAACCTTTGAAAGAAGATTCTGCTGGAAATGAGGTTTCTCCTAAAGACTTCCTTTCAAGCATGAAGGAGATTGAGTCTCTCTTTACAAAAGCTTCTGATTCTGGGAAAGAAATTCTAAGGATGCTTGAAGCAAATAAATTGCATTTTCGGCCAATTTTCCCAGGGAAAGAAAGTAATACTTTCCTTTCCTCCCTCCTCCTTCTCATCCACAATCACACACATTCAAACGATGGTTTTCAGGGAAGTTAGATTTTCTGGTGTTTGATGCCTCATAATTATTAGAAATCCTGCTTTAGTAAGGAAGTGGTGCATGTTAACAAGGAGTAGTGCAAGATTAATAATTTAGATGGACTGAACCTTGAGGTATTTTGAATTTGGGGAGGGTAAAAAAGAAGAGCTTTATTTCTTCCCATTAGGGATGAAGGACTACTGGAAGTTCATTGTTCTTTCAATAGTGCAGTTGTTGGAAGTTTTAGTAACAGAATTCCTTTCTGTGGCAGGTGTATCAAAGGCGTCCATTTTCCTCAGGGCTTGTTTCTCTTGTGGGGAAGATCCAAGCCAAGTTAAAGAGGGTAACACCGTAATCATTGGAAATTAGAATGTTCATATATTCAATATTCTGCTCAAGCATATTTTTAAATTGAAATGAAATACCTAAGTTTGCATCTCATTTTCTTTTAGATTGATTATGATTAAGAAATTAAAATTCTAATTCGTTGCATATTTGGAAATGAATTTTGGTCTTATTACCATTGGCTTTTATATGCAATATCACCAGATAATGAAAAGTTTATATTTTAAATTTTCTACTAACCAAGAGATACATAAAAGAACTAACGAACTGAAATGGTATAGTTTTTAATTTTTATATCATGCTCACCTTGTGAAACAACTGATTGGTGACAATAGAATGAGATTTGACTGGTACCTTATTTATATCATTTTAGTTTGTTCTTTCAACTCGATTCCTCATGGAATCATTTCTACTCTTTGCTCAGAGCCTCCTCAAACTTCTGTGAAGTACTTGCCTTGGCATAGGACAACTTCATCGTCTTCAGCTGGGAATTCAATGGGATTAAACGTGAAAGATGATGTCGAGGACCTTACCACCAACAATCTTTTCAATGACATCTGCATGATCTCAAGTGGTCATGCCTCAACCTTGGATAGACTATATGCATGGGAGAGGAAGCTTTATGATGAAGTGAAGGTGTCCTTCTCTAACTATTTATAGAGTTCTTCTATGTGATTAGCGTTGTTGCTTTTGTCTTCAGTAATATTTTATCCTGCCCGGTTATATACTTCGCTGGTTTAGGCATTATGCAATCCATTTCTGCTTGAGTGAAATCAAGGTTGTTGTCTCAGGCAAGCACCTTTTTGTTGTTATTGAACCATTGAAGAAAAACACAAGGACGTTTATCATTGAACAATTTCATTCTTGCTTCTATTAACTTTCTGTATGATTTGTAAATTTTTATATGCACACCTTCTAATTTGTGGGCATTGATAGATTGTGATGTTAAGCTCAATGCAGTTAGAACAGAAGTCACCTTAACTTTCATATAACTATTTTTTTACACATGCTGGTAACTATTTTAAAAAATTACAAATTTTAAAAGTGCCAAAAAGAAATGAAGGTCATTGATTTTTATGCATGCTGGTCATTGATTTTTCTACCAATTGTCTTTCCTGAATTTTTGGTTGTAATGTCTTCATCTATGATGTATCAGTGTAGTAATTATGCTTGCAATGGGAAAAAAAAAAATTGTAATCTTCATCTTTATCTTAACTGCAGACCAGTGACGCAGTCAGAAGGGCGTATGAGTTAAAGCGCAAAGTTTTAAGGCAGCTAGAATCAAAGGAAGAAAGTCGCCACAAAATTGATAAAACTCGAGCTGTTATCAAGGACTTGCACTCAAGAATTAGAGTTGCAATTCACAGAATTGACTCAATATCTAAAAGAATTAAGGATTTGCAGGACAAAGAGCTGCAGCCCCAACTAGAAGAATTGATGAAAGGGTATCTATTTGTTAGTTATTTTCTCTTTCTGTTTTTCTCCCTTCTAATTTTCTTTATTATTAGCGCTTTCTTATTAGTTATTTCCTTATTAGTGTCACAATGATTCAATAAATATTTATTGTAGAAACTGGAAACTAGTTGGTGTTTATGTGGTAGTTATTGGGAACCATATATGTTTCTATGTCCAGAATATTCATTTGTGCAGTGCCGTACACCTGCCACAGAATATACAAATGAACACTTGAAAACACCTATTATAAATTTAGATGTCATAAATTTTACCAAATAAAAACTAGAAAATGAAAACAAATTTTTACCTCAAAATCTTATCTAGTAAAATTTAGATGTCATTATTTATGCATGAGCCTGTAATACTAATAGCATTAGAGGTTCTTTTAGATATAGATCTTCGGCCATTGCATATCAAGTTTAACTAGTGACAACTTGGCTTTTCTTAAAAAAAAAAGGAAAAACAAAAAAAGAATAATAATAATAATAATTTCACATATTTGAATAATCTTTCAAATATCTGAAATACAAATGCAGATTATCATCACTTGCAGTACTGACTGTTTCATTTCTTGCATCAATACAGGTTAAGACGGATGTGGGAAGTGATGCACGAATGCCACAATCATCAGTTTCAAGTCATCTCTGCAGCATACAACGATGGCAACCTGAAAATCTCTGTACAGTCTGAGTCACATCGGCTAATCACTGCTCATCTTGAAATTGAACTCAGCTCTCTCGCCTCGAATTTTACTAAGTGGATAGATGCTCAGACATCTTATATTCAGGCCATAGACAATTGGCTCTTAAAATGTGTCTTTATTCAAAAACCTCCAAAGCGAAAAAGAAAGCATACTCCTGAAGCCTTCAGAGGGTTTGGGCCTCCGATATATGTCATGGTTGGTGGCTGGTTGGAGAAGACTAAAACCTTACCCAAAAGAGAAGTCTCAGACTCCATTAAGGGTTTAGCAGCTGAAGTATCTCACTTTTTACCACGCCAGGAGAAGAATCAAGGAAAGAGGACTAGTCATCCATTTTCAACACTGTGGAAGGGTGATACCAACAGTGATTCAGGAGTTAATCTATTAAGAGACGATGTCTCAGAGGAATGGGTTTCAGGTTTTGACAGGTTTTATAATAGCTTGGTTGAATTTCTTAGTCAGTTGAATAAATTTGCAGAGGCTTCTTTGAAGATGTATGCAGAAGTTGATAAAGAGACAGAACCTATCAAAATTAAGCATAATGAGGAGTCTGCCCGCAATCCCAAGAGCAGCACCAATGTTTAAGAATGCCCCAGAGGAAAAGATTTTGGATGGAGAGGATAGGCATCATCAAGTCATCAAGGGTTACATGGCAATTATGATAAAAAAAAGAATGCATGAAATTGTGAAACATTTCTGTTTCAGACAGGAACTTTAAAGGAAACTGCCATTTGTATACTGAGGAAGGTGTTAGAGGATGTTCATGGTACATTCAAGTTGTCAATAAAGGAGCTACTTGTTTAATCAGATGTCATAAACAGGGTGGTTCAAAGTTTAAAGTTGTTGTTACATACTAGGATATGTAACTAACCTTTGTACATCAAGTATAGAAACTGAGTTGAATTTCCAGCCCTGGTGTTCTTACCTTGACAATGGTACCACACTAAATTCTTACTATCATTCCATTATGTGAGTTTTATAGGCTCTCTTCTTGCATTAGGATTCAGAATACAAAGGGCAAAATACCCAAAAGGAGCTTATTGGATATAGCAGCTTAGTGATATTCTAGATCAGTTAGCACATGTTCTTCTGACTATCTTCTATCTTGCAAAAGTTGAATTTAGGTTTAATTTCCATTTTTATTTTATTAAAGAGAAAAATAAAAAAGAAGAGGAAAGAGCTAACTAAAACTCTAATTCTCTAAACATGATATGTAATTTTATGATGGTAGATAATTAATTATCAAATAAGTTTTTTTTAACTTAAAGGTGCAGTAAAAATTTTTTGCTACTCTATAATTTTATATAAAAATAAAAAATTAATATTAATTTTAATACTATTACTATATGAATAAATTTAATTAAACAATT